AATCCAATATTGTATGTACATAGCATATTTGACTACTTAGCAATATTAATTACTCCATCAAGAACTGTTAATAAGAGAAGGAGTGAAAGTCTGCTTTACTATCAGGAAAGCGTCAACAAACTACACAGGGATAAATCAGGCCTGCTACAGTCATGCTGAAAGACCCAGCATGACTAGGGAGGCTCACATTAGGAGATGAGGAACACAGGAAGGAAGAGGGAGTTGAGAAAACCCCCTGCTCTAGCCAGGAAGTCACCACTCACAAACTTACTAATTCTTCAGTCCAGCCAGGGTCTGAATAAAGTAAGACTATTTGATTGAAATGTCTTATTTGTAAAGAGGTGGGGATATAATCAACACATCCATCTCTAAATGAAAGAGAAGTGGCTGGCCGAGGTTCAAGTTTGGATTCCTGCCAGGGATAAAGAAGTCATATCCATGTTTACCACAGACTGACAAGCAAGGGGAACAGTCAGTCAAGGTGATCGGCATCCAACCCCCAAGCTGCCCTCCCAAGACAAAACCCTTGCTGACTGCACCAGTCACATGGATAAGTCCAAGCTATGAATGGGGTGTCCTGTTAAAAGGAAGTAATCACACCTTTCAGTCCTGTTGAAGTTGTGAATGTTCAGCATTCAACTAAGTTATAGTTGAGGCCTGGAGTCATTATGGGTGGGAGGGGGTGATGGAGGAAGGGGTTGAGAGACGGCAGAGAGACAGAGACATTTAAGTATCTGGCCTTCAGATTTTCAGCACCTGTAGTTTTTGTTCAATATAATTTTAAATGCATGCTTGTTAGCACCCACTTTACACAGCAAATCTGGTAGCTAGTTAGGTAATTGGCAAATTTTTGGTAGGATCTAATTCTCATTTAAGTTGTTTTTTATGATCAAATGCACATTCATGTCAGAGATAAAATAGCACAATACAAACTGAGTTCACTCTAGAAATCTGATGTCAAGATCATACAAAACTGAAGTACAGAAACCTAATGTTGACCATGGGGACATTCCGCCTTTCAGAGTGTCTTCTCTGGCATGTGGCATTCTTTGGGATGACCCTCTGCCTCTGTCTCCTAGAGAATAAATCTTGGCTGTCTTTGGAACTTCAATGAGGGCCTAATTACTGTTATGGTTCTCAGTAGAGATCATTCCAGAAAGCACAAGGCCCACACAGAATATTGGTTTTCTAGATGCTAATGAAAACAGCAGTAAATGTTTTATTAAAATAAGATTGCTCTGTGGATTCTTTGCTCAACAACAACAAAAACATTGTAAACTTTTCTCCAGGAATATATGCATTCTGCCACCACATTCTATATGTTTATTTCAAAGTCAATTTTAAGATAAAGTGCCCATAAGAGGTAAAACTAGAGTAGAAATCACTGTAGGGCAAAGGGAATTATATTCTTATGATTCATTAAAATAACAAATCCCAGCCAAGCTCTATGTGGTCAACAATGCATCTGCTTATCTCTAGGGAATTGCGTGGGCTCCCCGCAGGCACCTGTTCAGGCAGACCTATGTAGCAAGGAAGAGACTTACACAAGAACTCCTTCATCCCATTGATTGATGAGACTTTTAGAAGGAAGGGTGTCACCTAGAGATCAAGTGTTGTCAGTGCTGGGTTGAATGGAATAATTCATGGGAGCATGTTGTGTCTGCCACCTAGTGGTTAAGGGAACCTAATCATATTGAAAATTTAAATAAATAAAATAGGAAGGTCTGTGCCCACCTGACCCTTGTTTCCCCATACTCTCATCCTGTTAGACAGCAGTAGAGGTTTGCTGTTATTTGGGTAAGAAAAATATAATTTTCCCAGAATTAATACATTGAACAGAGACTGCGGGAAGGGGGGGCCCACACCCTGATACCACTTCAGTAATTACACAGACAAGAAATTGCAAGTTGATGGTGTTCATATGTGTTTTGTTTGACACAGAGAACTCTCTCCATTCCATTTTGTAGGCATAGGATTCACATCTATAGTATAGTGCACAGCCTTCCAGGATACAGCTTGTTGCGTGTACACATTTGTACATTGTATGTATTCATCACCCATGCAGTTGCTGCCCAAATGAGGACATGAAAGTTTCCAGGATCCCATCAACCTCCGTCTTCCCCTGCCCTGTCCAGTCCTCACTGACAGGAGAGATGGCTACTCTTCTAGAATCTGTCACCATGGGTTTATAATGGCGCCATCACAGTATATATTTATAGGCCTAACCTTTCAGAAAGAATAAGACCCTGTCATCACCATTTTAATAGCTTGTCCAAAAAAGGGGCTGTATGCTCAGAACAGTCTAGGTTTGCTGTTTTTTGTACAGGTGTCACACATTAGCTGTCTCTGGTGGCTTTCCTTACCAAGTTCCCATGGATCTATGTAGTGATTGTATTTTCCCAAGTGTCTCTACAAGCTGCCAAGTCAATTTTCAAAGAAATCACATTATTTTTGAGTGGCATCTCTGAGACACCAATGGCTGTCACAGCAAAGCTGATGCATTCTAATGTAGCTTTTCTAAAATTAATGAGTGTCATGTCACCAGCCACTGCTCAAATTAAGCCATGTGTGACAATTGGTGAGACAGGCTCCCATCTTGCTGGATGTTGCTTCACGCTGCACAAAATGATGCAGTTCATGTGGCTGTTTATGCAGACCCCTCTTTTTGTTGAAACTCAATGAAACTTAGTGTTGGGGTGTAGAGCTCTGTGTGTCAAGAAGCAGAGCTAGCTTTGTAGCCAAAGTGTTGTTGTTATCCCAGGCATTTCTTGTGCTTGTTTACTTGATTGCCAGATTATAAACCAACTCAAGAGTCGTTCAGCAAATGTGTTACTGCCAAGAGTTCTGAATGTAGCTGGAAATAAAAAACGCAAGCTGTGTGGATCCCTCCCCCGCGCTGTGGCACTGAGCCTTGTGTAGACCTGATGGTCCCAGGTCTGCATAGTGACACTTCAAGAGACCAGAGCCACTTAGTACAAACAAGGCAGCAATATAGCGATTATTTATCTCAATGTACTCTTTCTCAGAAATAGCCAGCATTTTTAAAAATTATTTGTCATAAATTTGGAAAAATAGAAGAATAAAATTCTGTGATCCACCAAAGGGAGTGATCACAAGCTTTAATAGTCTTCCTTCCGTCTGTCTCTCCCTCTGTCCCGCCCTCCCTCCTTCCCTCCCACCCCCCACCCCCATGACTTTTTCCTCCATCATTAGAAATTTTTGAAATATGTCTCAGGGTCGGGGAAGTTCTGAATTTTTCTTTGGAGATAATCAGTGTGACAAGATTAAAGATGGAACGCTAGACAAATTGTAGTCCAGAATGGGTTGTTGAAACTGGAAGTGGGGAACACCCTTGAGTCTATTTTGCATTCTTTCCCCTTGAACTCTTATGCCACTCGTGACAGTAAATTCCATTTTGTAAAGAGGTGTTTTTTTTTTTTTGTTTTGTTTTTGTTTCTTTTTTACCTCTCTAAAAACAATCATCATGCTATTTAAATTCCCTGTATATTTTCCCTCTGGCCTTGTGTGAGCAGCTCCTACTTTAAATCCAAGTGCAGCCCGCTTCCTTAGCCATTTGATGCCTGCCCACATAGCCCCACCTGTGCAGTCGGGTTGATCCCAGGCAAAGGGCTACAGTTATGAGTGATGAAAATGCAACCCAATGACAACTGAGAGAAGGGAAGTAGGAGTGACCCCAAAGTCATGTGGGGAAACAGGGTGACTCTGACAGCGACAGGTATCCAGATGGCATGTCAATCTCCAAGGCCTTGAGAGTAGCACGGGCCAACCACAGCAGAGCCTTATAACCAGGCGTCACAAATCTGTTCCTCTTGGCTGCCCTCTGCTGGGTCTTGTGGAATATTATAACTTCAATTACTCTTTTATTTTTTTCCTAACTCAAGTATGATTCCAACACACTTTTAAAATAAATACATTCATTATACTTTGATAATGTTGTTAAAAACAAGCCTTTCACGTGCTCATATCAAAGCATCACTTCCAAGTGGTGTCTTTCAATTGTCAGTTCTTTCCCAGGGGAAGAATTAGAAAATTGACAGCCCTTCTCCAATGGAGCCCCAAGCAGATGCAATTCTGGCTGCCTCTCATGCGTGTTCTAATTGCTGCTGGGTGCGGCATGTGGTCTGCACCTTATTTTTTTTTTTTCCTTGCTGTATAATCTTAGGTAGTGTTCTTCACACTACAGAAAGCCAAAACTCAACTTTGAAGACAGTACAGTCCTTTTAAATTAGTTGCTAGGTAATCACATCCAAAAGAGAGATGAAAGTCATAGAGGAAGCGGTGAATGTTGAGAATGAAGGAGAAATTAGATTCAGGAATTCCACTTCTATGTGTAGCACCAAAAGATGTGTGCTAGGACAGATGCTTGTATGCCCAAACTCTTCAAAGCAATATTTACAGTAGCCAAGCATGGAAGCAAAGCCAGGTGTCTGCTGGTGGACAAACATATAAACAACGTGTGGTATGTGCATATACTTCAAAAGGAAAGAAATCCTGATACTTGGTGCAAAATGGATAAACCCTGAGGGTATTGTGTTGAGAGAAGGAGCCAATAACCACTTCTTCATGATTTCAAAAAAAAAACGCAATGGCTCAACTCACAGAGGCAGAAACTAGAGTAGACATTTCCTGGGACAGAGCATAGAGGGATACTGTTTAGTGGGCCCAGAGTCTCCGTTTTTCAAGAGTTCTGAGGGTGGGTGATGGGGGTTGTTACATGGTAATGTGGATTTTCACAATGCCAGTGAAGTGCACAGTATTTCAAAGAGCGAATAGTTTAAAGTACGCTGCTCAAGATAGAATGGCTGCAGCTCACACCATCAGGGCACTATTGCAAGACATGGCTCCTTAGAGCCTGCTTAACTTCCAGCTGTCTCCTCAGGAAGGGTGGGCCAGTGGGGTAGACTGTTGACCTGTGCTCCCTGGAAATCACTAATGGAATGAAATGCTGTGTTCAGTAATGGCTTTCTTCTCCTCCTCAGGGTGTTAAATACCACATTGTTTGAAAGTTGGGAGATCGTGGGACCTTACCCTTCCTGGTGGGTTTTTAACCTGCTGCTGTTGCTACTACAAGGGTTGAACTGCTTCTGGTCGTACTTGATTGTAAAAATAGCTTGCAAAGCTGTTTCAAAAGGCAAGGTAAGCTAAAACTCACTCTCTCCAATATGTCCCAGAAATGTCAAGGTATTTTTGGATCCTTTGAAATCAATTATTTCTGATTCCATCAAAATCAAGTGTTATTCCTTCCAAAACCACTTTGAAACATAACCAAATTATTTTCTTCCCATCAGTTCATTTTTAAAGTTTTCTCTGTTGCTTTGGGGACGCTGACACCCAGCATTTACAATTTTAGATTTAATGATGCCATGCTATTTGCTGTGGATTATTCTTTCCCTCTCTCTCCCTTGGACTTTCTCTAGTTGTTTATAGTGAGCAGAAATTTAACTTAATGAAAAGGATTGCTCGGTGGCATGTGCACATGTTTAAGCGGGCCTTTCTCTCAGATGGGAGAATAAGTACATTCATGACTTCTCCAGCAAAATTGACTTGTCTGTTTTAACATGGGATCGTAGTCCTGACTTAAATAAATCTTCCTGAGCCCCAGTCCCCTTTCCCTACAGCAGTGACATTTCCAGATCTTTCTCCATGATGTTTTCTTATTTCATTTTTTGTTCTCTTCCTTCTGCCATCCTGGAAGGCTGGGAAGTGGAACCCTTTACATGTAAGTTTCTTGTCTTCTCTCTTCCTGTCCTGGGTCCATTTGCCTGCTGGAGGGGCGCGTAAGGGCTTTGTTCCATGTGTTTTCTTTCCTCTAACCTGTTGGTGCTGCTGGAAGCTTCGTGGCATTGTAGTTTCCATAACTGGAGAAGTTCCGCCATTGCCCCTTTATAGGAGCATGTAGATCTTGCTGGTCTGACAGGGAGGGAGACATTCTTCCTATTGGTACCTAACATGTCATCTAAGAGGCTGAAACAGGTCATTGTGAAGTGAGGAAAACAAAACTAGTTGGTCCATGTGGTACAGAAAGGAGACCTGGGCTACCGATGTCCTGATCTTCAGAAAACAGAGTGCAACACTTGACCCTCTGTCCTCAGACAGAAGGAGGCCCACAGACTCGGCCCCTTCCTCAGGAAACATCTGGGAAGTTTGTCATCATCTATGAAGCCAGTCCTCAGCTCCACCACCTATATAAATCCAAAATATTTTGATCAACTAATTTTCATAGGAGATAAAGTTAATTTTTCTTGTGACTTAATTATTCTTTAAAATGAACTCATTTTTTTTTAGAAATTGTTCTTGTCTTCATTTGGACACAAATTAAATCAACATGCGTAGTACTGAGAATATGATAATATCTAAAGATGAAGGCTGTGGTAGATTAGATTACTTGTATCCTTATAGCATTGCTATTTCCACCAGACCTGTCATCTTCCCTCTAACTGATATTCCTTCATGTCTGTGAAACAATGAACACTAATTACATTCCACAGCTTTGGTTCAGTACAGGGTTCCTCATCTGCCATTGCCGCTCCCACCTAACACAGTAAGATTACTCTTGTCCATAGGCTCTTCCTGTGAGTCATTTTTAGACATTCTAAGTTGCCATTTTTCCTTGATAGTATCATAACTATGGATTTTTCCAAATGTAATTTAAAGAAATCTTATGAGGCGTGCAAATTATTCTCTGCATCTCCAGTACTGTATTAGTACCTTAATTTGTGACTAATAGACTTATAGATATAGTGAAGCTTTACAGTAATACTATTTTTATGACTCGTACCTTCTTAGTTGAAATATTCTTATCCCATCAGTCATTTGTTGCCTTGGTATCTAAGTTTGTTGTTGGGTTTTGTTTTTGAGTGAGATAGTCTATGTGAGCTCAGTCTCACCTCAGAGGGCTTTGAATTGAGGATCATCTGTATATGATATTTAGCTCATTGCTGGTTAGCCTGGAACACATTTACTTTCTCCCATCTCCACCCACCTGCAAATAATGACATCCTCACTCCCTAATGGCTTCTGGGTAATAGATTCTACAAGTCTTGTGTTGATGTGAAGGTGGTGAGGAGAGGATCTGATATGTAAGGCCCCCAGTAGTTCTGAAACACCTTCCAGAGAACCCAACCAGCCTCTCCGTCCAACCCCTAGGAAATCACTGAAGACCAGACTGATGATCCCCATGAAGTCAGGCCAACAAGATCCTCTGGCCATACAACTTAATAGTTATGTGAATGAAACTGAGCATGTTGGTGGATCCCTAGAATTGTAGCACTTAGGAGGCTAAAGCAAGTCTGGGCTACACAGTGAGGCATGGTATCAGAATAAAAATTGATTGTTTAAGTAAGAATGTACTTACTTGAAGTTTCTAAGCCCTCCATGTTAAAATGCTGGCCATAATTTAGACTCACAGAGAAGGGGATTCAAATGATTGTGTTTTTTATTGTGAAAACATAGTGTTTCCTTGCTACATAGTAGGATCTCATGTTAGCATTTAGACATGTATCCTAGTGCCTTACTTTGCTGTGAATCAATATAGTTTCCTTGCTAGACAGTAGTATTTCTTTCACATTTCATGTTAACATATAGAAGTATATTACTTTGCTCTCATCATTACTTAAATGAAACTGAATGGAAGATTGAAGAAATTGGCACATGATAAAGCATTTTTAAGGATCTGACCACTAGATTTCTTCCATGACAAAAACTGAAACCCTGTCTCATCTAGAGGATCTTTAGAATGCCATATGGTGCTATTTGTTATTAGGCCACTTCTAAAATAAAATCTCAAAGTAATTTTAGCAAAAGAAAAGAAAAGAAAGAAAGAAAGAAAGAAAGAAAGAAAGAAAGAAAGAAAGAAAGGGAAATTAAATATAAAACAATGAATTACAATGCCAAATAGCAATGATTTGCTTTAATGATTTGAGCTAGTGTGTGAATATCTCTATTACCATGGTAATTGAGAGTTAACTTTAAGTAATTATCAAGGAGAATGTGGTTATTAGTGAATAAATTGACTCATTTGCCCCCAGTTCCTAAAGTGACGCCAAGTAGCATAGATGCCACCATTACTATGGGAAAAGGATGGAAATCATGGTCTAGACATTCTCCATGGTGAGGGATGGCCTTCAGGCTCTGTGCTTTCTAAATTCACTTACATTGCCCATAGCCTACTTCGTTGCACACATTATATCCTCCCAGTGAAGAGAACGGATGACCTCCTTGGTCATTCTCCTCTTAGTTTTTTGTAACATCTGCATAAGTTCATCTTCATGTGAGGTTGCATGTGCTGCTGGGCATGCTGAACCCTGCTGTTCCTAGGAGCTGGTTACACTCCCATTGTTGTATTCTGCAGGTATCCAAGGATGACCGGAGTGATATTGAATCTAGCTCAGAAGATGAGGACTCAGAACCTCCAGGGAAGAAACCACACACTTCAACAACCACCAATGGAACCAGCGGTACCAATGGATATCTCCTAACTGGTCCATGTTCCGTGGAGGATTGATTACCCCAGACTACAAATTCACAACCAAGTGAACTGTTTGTTCCTGGAAGTATTTAATAAGTTGCAAATGCAGTTCCTTTCATGATATTTCATCACCAGAGACAAAAATTAGGATTCTCAAAGCATTCTAAATAGTGTGCTACCATGTGTCCTGTTTGTGAATGAAGAAGAAATCCCATTATCTATGTGTAGGCATGCTATGTGTAACTGACACGAGGGAACAGTATTTGCATTTGTCTTAGAATATTATTTATTTTTTTATTTGTTTGTAAATCTGTGGACAAGCGAGGATTCCCTCACTCCTTTTCCTCTGGGCTCGCGACTCACTGCGAAGGAGATACTCCATCTGTTTCTACCCCTCTCTCATGCTGTAGTCCAGTGTGCTGTGAGCATCAGCTTATGTTAGAGCAAGTAAAACCCCATGCAATACCCTGATACAGTTCCCAATAGGTTGGCTTTCTTTCTGTTCTGCACCCATTTTATAATTGCCCATATTGCCGGTGACTGTTGCCCCATGTGAGTCTAAACAGGATGAACCAGGTGTTTTAGTTGCCACTCCTCTTTGTGGTCAAGTAGCAGTTGAGAAAGAGGATAGCTGTTAGGGGACTTTGGAATTTTATATGAAAATTGCTTTGGAATAGTTTGCTTGTCGTGTGGTAGATAATTAGGAGTTGACCTTTTTTGGTAACAGTTATTTTGCCCTCCAATGAGGCCAGTGTTCTGATTCTTAAACAGTGTCACTTGCTTAAGCTCACAGACACAAAGGGACCTACATACTGAGGACTTGCTCTGTGTTCTGGGAATCACATAAGGATAACAGCTGATTTCAACCAGTATTGCCATAATTCTTATTGTATTAGCCCAGTCTTTTGTCCTGCCATGGGAAAAAGAAGCTGAGAATGTTTTGAAGCAGAAAAACAGAGTGAGTCTTTTAAAGATTGGCAAAGACTACCTTCCATGCAAAGCATTCTACTACCACCAGCTCTCAAGAGAAGGCCCTACCTAGCAATAGACTTGTTTTTATTTTGCTGAGCAAAATAAATCCAATGGGAGAATGACCATTTACCCTTTGCCTTTCTCCTTAAGTGTGTCCCACAATGCCTTTCTCGTTGCTAGAAGCATCAGGCCTGCACTGCAAGTCTCTTTTATTTACTGCTTTGAAGACTCATGGGGGCTCCTAAGAACTTGTATTCAAGTGGAGCTATTTCCAGAAAAACAGCAAAACTTACTGAACAATGGCAGTGGCAACCATGAGAAAAATTACCAAAGAGTAAGTTCATGAGTGCCCCCCACTCCCTGCCCACCCAAATTGTCACTGGCATGGGCTGCAGAAACCACACAGATAAGCCAAGGATTTAATCTCATCTTTAGTCAAAAAGAGAATTAAATGGTGATACAACACCACCTAAAACAGGAATACAAAACATTCAGGGTACCAAGTAGCCAATAGCAAAATGCTACAATGAGTGTCTGTTCTGCCCAGAGCCATCCACACTTCATTTGATATTTTTTTTTAATTAAATCTTCATAGCCATGCTTTGAAGCCTGTGAGTGAAAAGTTACGAGAAAACTCCCAAAGAACTCTTGCTGCAATGTTAGATCTTTCTCCACCCAATTGCAAAACAGTATTTTTTTTGGGGGGGGGGGGGTATGGTCCAGATAAAGATTGTTAAAACTTGGAAACTTGCCTACTTGTTACTGTAGAAGACAGTGCAACTGATTGTGTATTGAGCCTTGCTGGTTTATTAACCAAAACAGTTATGTCTAAGAGTGAAACTTGCAAGTGTTTGAGTTTTATGAGACCAGTTATATGACACCAATGGTATTGTTAGTAATCAGAGCATTCGCTCAAATGCAAACAGATGAAAAACAATAACAGTGTTGAGAAGATGAACCCTTATCATCAGCTAAGCCAAGGAGCATGTCCAGCTTGTGTTAGTGTCTGGGCACATCCTCCCAGGGATGAAATAGACTTGAGACCCACAGTATGTTGGAATTTGAACCAGGTGACCCGTTTTAGCACAGAATAATTTTAAGATCAATTTGTAAATTCAGAAGAAGTACGTAAAATGAAGTAAGTTGATTCTGTCTGTCTCAAAGGCAATTCTAAACCTTCTAGACTAGGGACAGGCTTTCTGACTGACACCATTAGCTTGACTGGGTCTTTTACATGTCTATAGATTTTTTTTGTTGTTGTTTCATTACACAGTCTAGAGAAAATAATTCTGTTTGTCGAATTGAAATGAGTTTGTAGGCTTGTTCTGGAACAGAATATTAATATCTCTGTCTACTGTTCTCCCACAGTTACTAGATAAGGCTATAAGAACAGGCACTGTGTGAGGAATCTTGTCCACCTGTGCTAGGCCATAGCTTTCAGAAGTGTGACTTGTAAATCCAGCTGTAGGTTAGTTCTGAGTGGTGTTCTCATTAATTAGCTTAGCCTGTGGTGATGTCCCCTTCCTGGTTGCATTCAAATTTCCTAGGGTACCAAGGTGTGTGTAGAAAGGACTCTAGAAAAAGTAACTTTTGATCTCCAATGTTATAGCTTACCTAGATTTAGTGAGGGGAAAGTAGGAAATCAAGTAGAATTTGGCCTTGAGTCAATAAATAATATGTGTGGCTTATGTGTGTATATGTATGTTCTCCAAAAACAAGTAAAACCAAATCATTACTGATTCATCTTCATCCATATTCTTCTCATAAAAAATATATTCACATGTACTATAGAAACTTCCCTCCTCCTCTATTTTGCTTCCCACCTGCTGAGAGTAGCAGAAACCCTGTGGGCCTCTTATCCACAGAGGTCCCTGAGACAGAACCCAGGTCGTGGAACACCTGCTGTCACACATAAACCAAACCCAGTTCACCATTTCAAATCCAGCCCTGTGGATGTTGAGAGTAGAGGAGCAACCATAAGTACCAGTGTTATGGGTCATTTAAGTGTTCGATGTAAAAGTGAAAATGATTGCCATTTAGCCCCAGGCTTCTAATGCTGCTGAACTGACCTGCCAGGCAGAGGATGTCCCAAATTCCCATCTGATTGTGCCACTGACATCTATCAGAAATGAACAAGGCAGGAAAGGCAGGGAACAAGGAAGACTAGAGCAGATCTTTAGTCCATATGATGGGTTGAGTCTGAGAATGCCATATTCTCATGTGAACACAGCAGTATACTCAGCCACAGCACTGTGCTCAAGAAAGGGCTGCATGTGCTACCATGGTCCCAAAAGATGGTGACACAGCCTAGGCACTGAGAGGCAAAACTACCTGCTTGAATGTAAGTATACTCAGTGATGCTCATAGAATGACAAAATCAGTTTAGGACACATTATGTCCCTGTTGTTAAGTGACATAAGACTGTACTTGATAGAGTTTGAGTTTGAGCAAACGGAATGCCTTCCTTCATCTTAGAAAGGCTTGGAATCTTCCACCTTTCATTTAAATCTCGTTGTTATTTGGGCTAAGTAAAAATGAGACTTGTTTGTAGTTTGCCTATTAAAAATGTAGTTTATCTCTGTCTTTGTTGGCAAGCTCTTCTGAGAGAATGTATGGGCACCCTTGACTGTCTCCAATCCATTCATCATCTTATATTAGTAATTTGGGTGGAAATTAATGCCAAAGTTGCCTGGATTTTTTAATAGTTTTATTAATTGAAGTGTAAAAAGTATACAAAATTACTCCAGAGGTGTCTATAGGTCCTTTTATCAGTATGGGAGATGATGTCATTATATCCAGAGAGGCTTCCCACACCTTTGGAAATATAAGGTTAAATGTTCACATTTTATGTGGCATTTGTGGTCTTAAGGCTCTCATTTCCTTATTTTCTAGTCTTCTTTGACTTATTTCTGCTTAGGAAATAAGGAATTATAGCCCTGAAATGTTTCCAACATCCAAATGACAAAAAGTTTAATAAGATAAAAGTCAGCCTGAAAGGAAAGTGAGCATATGGCTCTTCCAAATTCTTCTCTAGAAAGAAATGGAGAGAGCTCTATAATTATTGCTCTTGCCTTCAAGTATGCTATCCCTGGCTGGAATGATTGCAAGCAGTTCTTACAGAGAGTAAGACAAGACTTTGTCTTAAATGTGTTCTTCCCAACCAAGATCAGTTTCTCTCGCTGAGTTGAAGTTTTGCAGGTCTCTAAATGCTATATACTAATTATCAGTATTCTACCAATAACATTTTAGATCTACAAACTAATGGGACCAAAGAGGGCCCTGTAGTTTGCCTGTGTATACAGCTTACCCCTCGGGGGCTCCAAGCAGATGTGAGGGAGCCCTAGCCACAGCTGTTGAAACTCCTAAAACCAATACTGAAAGGTAGCCACCTTCATGAAGAAAATTGGATTGAAGAACATAAAACATCATGAACAATGGAAGCTGTAGACATCCCTGTGAGACCCTTGGCCTCTTGCATGATTGTGTGACTTGAATTGAACCCAAAGCCTTTGAAATAAATGCATTGGCAGATGAGTACATTGAGGACCCACCAACTCTTAAGAAATTAAAAAGGCCTCTGCCACCAGATGACATATGGCATTTGTATGGGTGGGTATTTTCAGGATTGCCAGGAAATGATGAGAGAGCTCCATTAGCCCAGAGTCAGTCTTATCTCATTCACTCACAGTCAGTTTAGCCTTCTGGAACTCTGCTAAAAAGAAAGCCAAATGCTAACATATTTCTGCTTTCAGTTTACCAATGACCATTAGATCAGTTCTTCCCGTACCTCCTCCTCTGCCTGGTCTGTTTTCCTGGAAAGAAAAAAAAAACTGTGTCCATGTGTGGGTGTTTCCTTAACACAGGTCCACGAATGCTTGACTTTCTGTATTGTGAGTTGTCTGGGAACCAAGGTACAACAGGAGTCATCCTAGTTTCTATGTTCAGTGAGAAAAAGGATTTCATTCATATTTCTCACCCTTTGTAAAACTGTCCTTAATGTGAAGAATTTTCTTAATGTTAGCTACAAAGCCCTGGAATAGTTAGGATTCTGTAACTTTTGCTCAAAGGCAAATCAACATAAATGTGAGAAGCACACTCCAGTTTGCTTTCCCCTAAGCTCGCAGTTTTCATCACTCCTTTGCCCAAGTCCTATCCATTTACCTTAATGGCCTTTTGATGTCATACAAAAAGATGGTGGTTAATTTAGGGGTGTGTTTCTCTTTTCCAGATGTCATTGAGGACTAGGTGATGGAAGCTCTTTGTTTTGTTTCTAAAGACGGTTCAGTGCTTGAGCATCTGTCAGAAGTGAAATGGTGTACCACTAGCCAATTAGAATTACTTCGTGTACTGTTACCATGTTTTGATGATTTTTATATGGAAATATAATTATTATTCATTCTTGCTCTTTGGAAGTAATCGTTATTATGATGATCATTTTACTTTGGAAACACTTTCATAATAAAGATAAGCATTTAGAGTACAGCAAAAGTGTCCTTTATTGTAAGCACTGAACTAGAAGGATATCAACCATGCCTGGGTGGGATTAAGTCAGAGCTCAGCATCCAGTCCTTTTGTACAGTTCTAC